ACAGAGGACAGCAGAAAATAACCGACCTAACAAGCTTGTGTAAATGGTAGACAGAACATGAACTAGGAGGAAGACAAATATTGATAAAATCTACAAGGGCCAGGAAGTTATAGAGAACCATTATCATCCAAGGACAAGACATATGGAAGCAGTGAATTGCATACGGAAATATTACCTAGTTTTTTTCTTTTTTTAAATTCTTTACGTGGAAGCTAAGCTTGAACACAGATAATACGCCGTCGTTGGTGAACATAGTTTTTGGAGGTCATACTAGCAATTTTCAATTCGTTGTATTAATTTTACGTTGTATAAAGTCGGTTTTCTACAATAAATTTCATCATTAGAATGCTATCAATCTTGCCTGGTCGACTTGACCAAAGAGTCGGGTTCAGAGAGTAGTCGGCAACACAAAACATTGATTATCTTCGAGTAATATCTTCATTTGAATGCTGTCAACCTTATCTGGCCTACGTGAACAAAGAGCATCGTTCAGAGAAGCACCTTCAGCACAAAAGATCAATTATCTTCAAGTAATATCTCTATTTGAATGTTATCAACGCTGCCTGGTCTATGTAACGAAAGAGCATCATTCAGAGAGAAACCATTAACATAAATCCTCGTATATAGTATATGTTCAAAAAATATCTTCATTGGAATTCTATCAACCTTACCTGGTTTACCTGACCAAAGAATATCGTTTAGAGTGAAATATTTAGCACAAAACATCGATTATCTTTAATAGTTGTTTCTGTTTCTGAGATGAGGTATTGTAATTATTTACATTGTTCGAACTATTGTCCTCATCTTTATTGTCACGTTCACGGCTTTTAACTAATTTTATAATATTATAATAACTTAAATGCAAAAATCTGTTATAATTAAAGAAATAACAAATAATTGTATTAAAAATTCAGTATTTAAGTTAAATACCAGACAGAAACTCAATCCACGTGACGTTTTTTATTGCACGCATGTTCCGGTCTTCCATATATTTGATTTACAGTTTTATTATTGACACAAATTATATTGTTGTTCGTTAGTTTGTAACAAGCTTTGGAAATTATAATCTGTAAATATATATCTACTTAATAACAACATTCATTAAATTTTACAAAGTTTCCCCTAATTTTAGAAGAATTAACAACATTTAATGTAAAAATAATAAAATATTTCAGAAATAACAAATAATTGTTTTAAAAATTCATTTTTAATCGAAATACCTTTTGGCTTTCAAACAATATTGTCCATGTTCATGGAAATAAATAAAAGCAATTAAAAGCTTTTGAAATTAAATAATATTTTTTGTTTTATTGAGTTTTGTATGTTACAATTCAGAGATGATTTTCAGGAAGAAGTGGTCCAAATAAAAAAAAATCAAAACATGATTTGGTTTCCTCAAAGCCTTGTGCTTTTAACTAATATAATCACTAATCTTCCCAAAATTGAAATTATATAGTTTTCGTACAATTAGTTAGGAGGGGGTAATACATATGAAAAAAAAAATTCTGCTATGACTTTACTAAAAAGAAACATATTTATAATAAGTTCCATCATTTATTAATAGTTTCTGAAAGTTTCATTAAAATCCGACAATTATTTTTATTTTTACAAGATTTTCCAAATTAATGCCTGCCATACAGGAAAAAAACGCGCTAAAATTTTATGTTATTTTACTAGTTCCGGTGATACAAAGGTTTTTTTTAATCAAAATTTAGAATGTTCTAAAAAGAAGGAAAAATTTTAAAAAATAGTTAAAAAATACTTTGATCTTTCCTCTCAATAATAACATAAGCATTTAGACGCTAAAATTTTGTTTTCGCAAAGTTTGGTGTCTTTTTCATCATGCTATACTCTGTTTTTAGAGATCTCGTGAAGGTACTTAAAAGGTTTATGCATGTTTCACTAAAAACAACAGACAAGTTACTACGGTTAAGCTTTTTATTTAGTTTTTTCTTGTGTTCTGAGCTTTCTTTTCTGGACAAAGGGTGTGTAAGATCTGTCCAAATGTTTTATATTTCCGAGCACTTTCGGCTATACCTTTAGCCATTATCAAGGATGATTCGATTTTTCAGCTTAATTGAGTGTGTGCGTTATGTGTATGTCTTAGTGTGTGGTAGGGATGTTTTTAATTTCCGAATACGGTTAGCACATTGTGGCTTTGTTCGTAGTTAATATTGTAACGGGTTAGCTTTTTCTTTTTTATTATTAAAGCTTCCAGTATTTTTAGTCTTTTTTTACAGGTGGATGCAGTTAATATATTTGTGTTTTCTAATAGTATGTTTCTAACGGAGTCTGGTAAATTTGTGTGTGTGTTACACCTATCGGATCACAGCTTCATTAGAACCCATTTAAAACACACACACAAATTTACCAGATTTACAAGAAAAAATAAATAAAAAGCTTAACCGTAGTACCTTTCTGTCGTTTTTAATGAAGCATGCATAAACGAAGGATTGCTACCTAAATATACAACTATATATAAAGGTGCATATTGAAGTCAACTTCCTGAGGCGACAGTCTGTTTCATGATGGTCTGACGATTTCGTTTAGGATGAAACTGACTGTCGTCCCTGAGTGTTGACCTCAGTGTCCACTTTTATATTTACATAGACTCAATCCCCGATATTGAGCATTTTATCCCATAAATATAGCATACCTCAAAACTATATTTTATCATATATATATATTGAAAAATATAAGCAGTAAATTATTGATACCTACTGATAAGCAGACGAAGAGGTATGTCTACAAAATTCTGGAGTCGGGATGGTGAAGGTAATCAACTAAGTGACAAATTTTACAAACATTAAGCCCTCCTTCTCCCTTTCTCTCTCTCTCTCTCTCTCTCTCATACACACATATATATATATGTGTGTGTGTGTGTGTGAGAGAGAGAGAGAGAAAAATGAATTAATCCTAAAATTTCTATCCTTAAATATATATATATATATATATATATATATATATATATATATATATATATATATATATATCAGAAAAGATAACAGAAAGATTTTAGAGGAATATGTTGATTGTTTTCTTTTTGGCGGTTTATCCATCCTTCGACAAAGACATATTAAACAAGACAAGAGGTTAAAAAAAACGACAAATATATTGTTCAGTGAAGTTAATATCGAAAATTTAAAAATGTCTATCGAACTTTTGTCGCCAGGCAAATAATACATAAAAGCGACTTTTCGTCAAGACTTCACAGCTGAAGTTTTTCTTTAGATGATGAAATAGATTTTTACTCAAGAATGCTAAATTTATTCTAACCAGAAGGAAATTAATTAGTTTCCTAATGCGATAATTGTCGTTTCTAAAAATGATGATTCTGTTCTTGGTAAATAAATTTTCAACATTTTGCAAAAGACATGATATCAAAAATGAAAGGATAAAAGATTAAGACATTTCTGTTTTTTTCTGCGCGCGCGCGCGTGTGTGTGTGTGTGTGTGTGACTCAGAAGATCAAATCATATGAAATCACTGGGAGAGCTTAACGCATTTTCCTATCTGCAATAATCACACCCTTTTTTTAACTCTTCAGAACGTCGGCCATCGTTGCTCTCCGCACATTCACTTTTAAGTCTTATATTGGAATTTCCATGATTTCTTATACACAGTTTTCTCTTTCATTCGGACCTGAAGAAGACGAACCCGACATACGTCGTCGAAACGCGTCATTTATAAGCTTTTCCACTTTGTCTAGATATTCCAACTGCTATTTAACTACTAACTAAAAGGGGAAAACTCTTTCGAGTAGTTTGTAACACATTATTTATCATCTCTTAGTTGCGTCTCTGTCTTTGGGCAGAGTGTGCTAAGGGGCTTCTCTGTCAAAGGACGAAGTCGCAATTGAGGAAAATTATACTGAGAGGTGCCCAGCCTTGGAGAACAGCTGTCCGAGGCCGCATCCTCTCATTGCACCAGAGAGAGGGATCAGTGCTCGTATCGAGGCCAGCGCAACCAACGGTTACGGTGGCTCGGGCAATTTTTGTTCCTAGCCCGGGTGTATGCGCTCGGGCTCCCCACATTAAACCGACCTTGTGTCACAAGTTGACCTCGTGGCGGTTGAGTAAATATAAACTAAAAGGGGAAGAGATGGATTCAAGGGCACGGGTGGGGAAGTGAATGCCGCAGATTCCGTCCGTTTTTCAGGTTCCAATATACACTCCGATCTCTGTTCGAGATTCCCATTTAAATAGATAACAGAAACTCTTTCTGTAAACAACAAAAAGGTGTAGCGATCAATTTAGAACTATCCGAATTCTTTTAGTTTCCTATTGAAGGTTCTTGCAACAAAGGAATAACAGAATTTCATAATCGAACTTTTACGTTGCTCATTTTAATGATACTATTATTGAGAAATAGATTTGAATTTTGCTACAATTGGATAGGGCATTAGTTGACTTCTCTCCTAAAGACAGTGTGATTTCCCGATGAACGAAATATATAAAGAAAAAAAAGGAGGAAAAGAAATAAGACAAAGACGGTTTTTTAATGAGTTACATTTACACTTAAGAGAGCGAGAAAGTAAAATATAAATAGAAACATAGAATAAGAAACAGGGATAATGACAATAAACAAAAGGAAGACACGAAAAATTCAGACAGACATATAGACTGATTGATCGATATATGAACGGTTTAAGTTTAGATAGATAGATAGATAGATAGATAGATAGATAGAATTAAACCAGAGCAAAATATAATAGGACAAAAAAAAATAGATAGATAGATGGACAGACTTCAATAGACATAGATAGATAGATAAATGAACAGGTTAAGATAGATAGATAGATAGATAGATGAACATGTTAAGATAGATAGATAGATAGATAGATAGATAGATAGATAGATAGATGAACATGTTTCGATAGATAGATAGATAGATAGATAGATAGATAGATAGATAGATAGATGAACAGGTTAAGATAGATAGATAGATAGATAGATAGATGAACATGTTAAGATAGATAGATAGATAGATAGATGAACATGTTAAGATATATAGATAGATAGATGAATGAACATGTTAAGATAGATAGATAGATAGATAGATAGATAGATAGATAGATGAATAGTTAAGATAGATGAGATAGATAGATAGATAGATATAGATAGATAGATGAAACATGTTAAGATAGATAGATAGATAGATATAGATAGATAGATGAATAGATATGAACATGTTAAGATAGATAGATAGATAGATAGATAGATAGATGAACAGATAGATAGATAGATGAACAGGTTAAGATAGATAGATAGATAGATAGATAGATGAATAGATAGATAGATAGATAGATAGATAGAATTAAACCAGAGCAAAATATAATAGAACGACAACACAGAAAAGATAAAAAAATAGATAGATAGATAGATGGACAGACTTACTTATATATATATATATATATATATATATATATATATATATATATATATATAGATAGATAGATAGATAGATGAACAGGTTAAGATAGATAGATAGATCAAAATATAATAGGAATGACAACACAGAAAATATAAAAAATAGATAGATAGATGGACAGACTTCTATAGATAGATAGATAGATAGATAGGAACACATACAGAGAGAGATAGAATTAAAGCCAGAGCAAAATAATAGAACAATACGGAAAAGAAATATATATATATATATATATATATATATATATATATATATATATATATATAGATAGATAGATAGATAGATAGATAGATGAACAGACTGCAAAATATAGATCGATAGCTGGATAGATATATAGTCTTAATGCCAGAGAAAAGACAACAGACAAAAAGGACGATTAGAGGAAGAGACAATGGCTGGAAAACGCAACGCAAATCGGTATGGACTTGGTTCCCTGAGTTTTTCCTTTCTCACTGAGTTTCGACTTTATAATATGCATGACCTCTTTCGTTCTCTGATATCAGCGTCTTCATTAGGGCGAATTCATCAACTGATGTCTGTAAATCGAGCGAACAACTAATTCAACCTACCTACTCCCTTCCCTTTTCACCCGCATACCCTTGCCCGAAACCTTGACCCTCCCGCCACCACCTATCAAAGATGCAATAGTCTGATGGTAGAGAATTTATCACAAATCAGACTGACGTTTTCATTTCAGAACAAACTTGGACAAGTGAATGAGGAAACGACCTCTGGCCTGAATTGCCAAACCTTTTGGCCTCTACTTTCGCAGACGCGACTGAATGGGGCTACTGCCGTCAGAGATGTCTGTGTTCCCACTCTGCTTTATTCTACTCTTTTCTATAAATTCGGTTCCCCTTTCTTTCTCGTCTTTCCACAAAGACGCTCGATTTCCCTGCCTTTCTTTTCGTTTGTACCCTTTACTCAAATGTCCCTTATTATCCTTTCATTGTTTCTTTCTTTGCGCCTCCTCTCCTTTTTGAGAATAATTCTCATGATATCTCAACTCTTTCTTGCACTCAGAGACACTTTATTCGTTTCTTTCTTATCATTGGATTATTTCCTTCTTCCTTTCTTTATTTCTTATCTTTATATTCTTTCTTTCTTGCATTCTTTCTTTCTTTCTTTCTTAGATTCTTTCTTTCTTATCTTTTAGATTCTTTCTTTCTTTTTCTTATCGTTTGCATTCTTTGTTTCTTGCTTTCTTTCTTATTTTTGTCATTCTTTCTTTTTTTGCATTTTTTCATTGTTTCTTTGTTTTGTTCTGTCTTTTACGTTTTTTTATATATATTTTAATCTTCTCTATTCCTTCTTTCTTTTTTCTTTCTTATATTTTACATTCTTTCTTTCTTTCTTTTGCATTTTTTCCTAATTTTTTTGCATTTTTCTTTTGTCTTTCTTTCTTTCTTTCTTATCATTTATGTTCTTTCTAACTTTAGCTTTCTTTTGCTTTCTTTCTTTCTTTCTTTTCGATTCTTTCTTATCTTTATCTTCTTTCTAACTTTAGCTTTCTTTCTTTCTTTCTTTCTTTCTTTCTTTCTTTCTTTCTTTCTTTCTAATGGTTCCTTTTTCTTCCCTTTACCTCTCGTTCACTATTTTTCTCTCTTATTCATTCTCTTCGTCTCTCTTTCTTTTATCCATTTCCCCGTATATTACTTCTCATTGATTTCTTTTCTTTGATTAGTTTATCTTAATCCCAAATTTCCCTTTTTACTTCTTCTATGCTTTATTAACATAAAGTATTTTTCTTTCTCTACTTCTTTTTCTATTTCCTTTGTTTTTTTTTTGTTTTTGTTGTTGTTGTTGTTTCTTGCATTTATCCCTTTTCATCAATTTTAATTTCATTATTAACTTTTTTGTTATTTCTTTCTTTTTTTCGGTTCTTTAGTGTCTATTGAACTTTTTCCTTTTCCTTTCTTTCTATATCTGTCTTGATTTTTTTTCCTGTTATTTATTGTCGTCTGCAAAATTTATTTATTTTCTGGTTTTTATTCCTTCTCTTTCGTTTACTTCCTTTTTCGTTCTTTCTTTCAAATTCCACATCTTTTCGTTTATTTTTTTTATCTCGTTCATTCGTTCCATTTTCCTTTTCTTTTCATTTCCGTATTTACAATTTACACCCTTTTATTTTCATTCATTCTATTTTGTTTGTTTTCTTTCATTCTTTTCAGATTTTCCTTCCTTTATTCATTTTACTTCTGAGCACTTATGATTTACATACGTTTCGTGTTATGAGCTTTTTTAATACACATATCTTCATACAATATAATCTTCATATAATATAAAATAATCTCCATATAATACACATATCTCCATACAATATAATCTTCATATAATATAAAATAATCTTCATATAATACACATATCTTCATACACTATAATCTTTATATAATATAAAATAATCTTCATATGATACACATATCTTCATATAATACACATATCTCCATACAATACAATCTACATATAATATAAAATAATCTTCATATAATACACATATCTTCATACAATATAATATTCATATAATATAAAATAATCTTCATATAATACACATATCCTCATACAATATAATCTTCATACAATATAAAATAATCTTCATATAATACACATATCTTCATATAATACACATATCTTCATATAATACACATATCTTCATACAATATAATATTCATATAATATAAAATAATCTTCATATAATACACATATCGAATCGATTGTTGGGTCAGCTGCTAAGGAAGTTAGTTCACTGTGTCGTGCGAGGTAATATTTCTTCCTAGAATCTATATTACATATCTATAAGTCAATCATTCATCCATGCTTAGAATATTGCTGCCACATATGGTCCGGTGCCCCTGCTATTTACCTTGAGCTCCAAAGAAGAATTAGCAATATTATTTGTCCTGATCTAACAGCTCGCCTTCAGTCACTTTCCCACAGCCGTAATGTTGCCTCTTTGTGCCTTTTCTATAAATACATCCATGATAGTTGTTCAGAAGAGCTCTCCGCTATGATCCCTAAACTTTATTAATTTAAGCTCAGTACTAGACTGACGTCAAAACCTCATCTACTTACAGGTGAGTTGGTTTGATATAACCGTAAATTCTATGCTAACAGTTTCTTTTGACACGTTTCTCGCTTGTGGAACTTCCTTCCAGATCCACGCTTTCCAACCAACTTCAATCTGAAAAATTTAAATTCAATGTCAATCGCTATCTGCTATCCTCCTGATTACTCTTTTCTCTTCTCGCTCATTATTAATGATTCTGTTTTTAATTCTTCCACACCTTGTAATCCCTTGTGTCTTATTGACTTTGCTGTCTTGGATGGTGTGATTCCGATTAAAAAGAATGACAAAATAATTCTTCGTGAAACTGTTAATGAATAAATAATGATAATGATATATATATATATATATATATATATATATATATATATATATATATATATATATATATATATATTCAGTTGTATGGATATGACTTTTTAACCTTGGTTTCACGCTTTTTGGATTCTCACAAACTGGTTTATTTTATTAAAAATTGAATCTGTCTATGTTAGTTTCTGTTTGATTATGTTTGGTTGTGGTGGAGGGGTGAGAATTATCCTCTGTGTCCAAACTCATATCCATACAACTGAATATATTAGCTCTATATTGAATACTTTTCCAATAAGTACCCTGTATATAATATATATAGAAATTATATACATACATACATACATACATACATACATATATACATATATATATATATATATATATATATATATATATATATATATATATATATATATAAAAAAAAAAAAGAAGAACAGTAAGATATTTAATCCGGTGTTCTTATAGATATTTTTATTTTTACAAAATAGTGCTCAATGTAAATTTACAGAGCAATTATTACACCTAGACACCCCTTGTCTAGTGGAAGTGGATTTATCTGTAACCTTGGAAACGTGAATTATGATTTTAGCTGTGTCTTTAAAACCCAGTAATTTTAAAAGTTACTCCAAAGTTCGCTTGAGGATGAAATGGAACTAATGTCTTTAATTTAATTACAAAATTAAATTCTGAGCTTTTAGCTTCCATTTTTGAAACATGGTTAGAAATGTAGCGAAAAAAAACATATTTTAAATCAATTAATTTATAATATATATATATATATATATATATATATATATATATATATATATATATATATATACATATAAATACTGTAGTGAACGAGATAATCACGTACCCCGGAAAAAGTTCGTGTTTTTTTGTGCGGATCTGCCGGGGAGGGATTGCCAAAAAAAAAGTAGTCAGCAAAACTCTTATAGCGACTTACCTCGTCAACCCAAGCGAAAAGAAACAAGTTCGTCGCAGGAGTCGCTATAAGAGTGTATTATTATGCAAATTACGGAGCATCCTATCCCGGCTGTCGACGAATGGAAAAAATAGGTTCTGCCGATAAAAGCAGTTGGTGTTGTCGACTCGGGAGGAAAATTCGGGCAGTTTTGGCTACGGCGTTCGTGAGTTATTTTCCTGACGTGTTACAAGTGATTCTCTTTCTTTGTGTTGTGAAAGCCACAAATTTGCTTTGAGAACGCTTACGCTTCAAGCTATTTCGGCCTTGTTCTGCTGTGATCTGACCAGCTGTATGTCTACGGATAAGTGGTATTCACTTACCAACTTTCCCAGTGTGTCTAGCCTCCTTCGAATGAGCATCTCGCTCGCAGCCTTTGTATGTATCCTAGCCTTCCCCGTAAGAGTGTTCATATCCACTTATACACGCATGCAAAATCCGTGAATAAATGCAACACCTTTGCATTCCATTGAAGGGCCGCGGTGACTCTCCTATTTGGCGGCGTCTGCGTCGACAGGATTCCGCAAGCGTCATTGACCACTTGGGGTCATTGTTCTTGAACGTGGGCCCTCCGACGGAACTCCTCACTGACAACGACACTGCATTCCGCAGTGAACTATTCAAAGATTTTGTGGCTTCGTGGGAGTACACTTTCAGATTTCGCTGCGCGTATGTCCCATCAGGGAATGGCATAGTCGAGCGATGTCATCGGAGCATCAAAAGAATCGCTGCTAAAGCAGTGTTCCATAATGGAGGCGGTGTATTGGTACAATGTTACCTGAGAGACAATAATGTATCGCCCTCAACTGCGCCAGCCAACATGATTTATCAGTATAAAGTCCGGCTACGAGGCATTGACGCAACGCGTTCAACTGAACGGATAAACGAACGAGCGCCGTATGACTTGGGCGATCGCGTGTGGGTGAAATCTCCACATAGCCGGTGTACAACCCGGTACCGGGTGGGGCATGTCACTGACTAAGTAACTCGCGTTCTGTGCTGGTTGATGGCATACCAAGACACATAAAGGACTTGCGTCACTATGTAGGTACAGATACGTCAACAAGTGACACTAGCAGTGAGTGCTCAGAAAGGAACAAATAATTACCATCGGAGGTAGGGATAGCACCCCTTCAGATGGTGAAGACTCTGTGCGTGAGGTTGTCAGACCAGAAGAATCCTCAGAAGAAGAATCTTCAGAACATTCTTCAGATGATGAAGACTCTGCGCATGAGGTTGTCAGATCAGAAGAAACCTCAGAACATAACACACAACCTCCTCCCACAGTTGCCCTGCCCGGAGAAGCTTAAGAATAAAGAGGCCGCCCATGAGTGTCACTTATGTGACAGGGGGAGTGTAGTGAACGAGATAATCACGTACCCGGAAAAAAAAGTTCGTGTTTTGTGTGCGATCTGCCGGGGAGGGATTGCCAAAAAGAAAAGTAGTCAGCAAAACTCTTATAGCGACTTACCTCGTCAACCCAAACATGAAAGCGGTGCGATTGGAACGGCGAGCTTCTTTAATTCCGCCAAATATACGTCTACTGTCTCGCCAGGTCGCAGACGCCGTGCCTGAATTGGTCGTAGGCCACGAACCGGTCAGTTCCAAACGCGGTTAGTAGAGCGTGCTTTATTTGCTCAATGTCGCTTTTCTGTTCTTTAATCAGCTGCCTATACACAGCAAGGGCACCGCCATTCAATCGCAGAGGAAGAATCCGATCAATCTTCGATATCTCGCATAATTCGCAGACCAGTTCCACCTTTTCGATCCATCTACTTTCTGACATTGAAAGCATCGTAGATCGAGACGTGCCTTTCGCGCCGACCCGCTGCGCATTTCTTCGCGTTGATAGCGGCAGTCTCTGGCAAAATGATTCGGCCCAGAGCACCGATAGCAGGTGGCAACGCCATGGTGACGAATGGCTGGGGTCGGACCTTCTTTGACTTCAATTGGTTGAATAACCGCGGCCACTGGTTCATCAGCCTCTTTTTCGTCGATCATGACAGCACGGGCTCTGGTCAACAATTGATTGAGCGTCAGGTCTTCCATTCTGGATGATGCGCGGAGTATCTGCTTAACATGACTGGGCAATCCAGAAACGAAGGCACATGTCATCCATTCTTCAGGAAGCGGTGCGATTGGAACGGCGAGCTTTTTTATTCTGCCAAATATACGTCTACTGTCTCGCCAGGTCGCAGACGCCGTGCCTGGAATTGGTCGTAGGCCACGAACCGGTCAGTTCCAAACGCGGTTAGTAGAGCGTGCTTTATTTACTCAATGTCGCTTTTCTGTTCTTTACTCAGCTGCCTATACACAGCAAGGGCACCGCCATTCAATCGCAGAGGAAGAATCCGATCAATCTTCGATATCTCGCATAATTCGCAGACCAGTTCCACCTTTTCGATCCATTCAACAACAGACTGTCCACTAGTATCACCACTGAATTCGGGGATCAGTTTTATATCGAACGGTCTTTCCGTCATCTTGCGAGAGACAAAGTAAATACCGAAATAGCTTGAAGCGTAAGCGTTCTCAAAGCAAATTTGTGGCTTTCACAACACAAAGAAAGAGAATCACTTGTAACACGTCAGGAAAATAACCCACCAGAAAAGCTCCAGAACCGAGTGTCAGAATATTCGCTTACGCTTCAAATACATACATATACATATATATATATATATATATATATATATATATATATATATATATATATATGAGATTACTTGTTTACTATAGCCTGAAGAGTCACAACATAGTACTGAAACATGAAAGCTATTGCGTAGCGATTTTTAACATGTTTTTGTTTTAGTTTCATATCCTAATATTAAACTCTACTTTGTATTCAGCCCTTTTTAAAAATTAAATGCTGCATACAATGGAATTAAACTCAATTTGTTATATTCATTATATATATATATATATATATATATATATATATATGATATATGAGCAAACAATATATAACATTTTATATTTATATATCATAGAATATAATTTTATATATAAAATATATATATATATATTATACTAATGACAATTCATGGATATATATATATGGAAAAATATATAACCATTTGATTTTTAGGAAAATCTACAAAGTGGAAAATTCATTTGAATTAAAAAGCGGATGTTGAGAATTTAAAATTTAAATTATACAAGGAAGTAAATTGCTCATTGCTTTAATTATAAGAGAACGCAATTTACTCAGACGAAAATGTATAGTAAGTGCTTTAATCACTAGATTATCCACAGTAAATTGACATCCAGTTTCTTCCATCTCACCTTTCATGACAGATCTTCTATTCTCACAACGTGGCAAAAGTGATGAAATATAAACAAAATGAAACTAAATGAAATCAGCTAGATTATATCCTAAAACACATAATTAAAAACAAAAAAAATTAAATTTAAAATTTCCTTTTCTTTTATTTCTTTTCCTTTATTTTATTTTCTCTTCTTAGGCTTTCTTCTTCATTCTTCTTTTCATAAATAGGGCAACAGATTTATACTGCGCCTTCGATAAAATGGTAAGGTTTGGCTATGATAGTGTGCTTTTGTAACAACCTTATCTCGCAAACCTATTTGTTGCAACAGTGAGTTCGATTCTCACCGTGTGCTCCAATTCACTCCTGCCAGATTAAGAAAGTAATGCGAATTATTATATAACAAAAGAGTCATATACGACAGGCATCTCGTATCTTTAGGAGATGGCATGACAGAAAGTTCAGTAAGTTCAAATATCTCATGGTGTTTTTGAAAATAGGGATGCATCTTCTAGAATAAGTGTGTCTTATATGTAGAAAATAAAATGCTCTCTTCTGCCATCTTTTTGGATTAAATGTTCCGACTTTTTTTTACTGAAATTCTCTCCAGTCTTGTTTTTGTTTTCCTCGGATTTGTCATTCTTTTTTTTTCTTTTTATCTTACGAAAAAATGCGAATTTGCAATCGAACATTTCTTCTTTGGATGGAGTTTTTCTTTGATCAATTCTTTTACTTCCTAATTCTTTTCCCTTTACCTCTCTTGTCTATTCTTTCTTTCTTTCTTTCTTTCTCAGTTCACTTTGCCTTTATTCTTTCATTATTTCTTTTTTTTTCCTTTTGTCATGCAGTCTTTCACTCTGACTAGCCACAATTATTGTATATTTTACAATAATAAATTTCACTTTGACTTACTTTTCTTCGTCATATATTTCATGTCTTTCCTGATTCATTAATTCATACTTTCTTTCTTTCGTTAGTTCGTTCTTTTGTCTTCGTCTCTTTCCTTCTTTCGTCTGTTCTTTCTACCGAATGTCTTTCTTTTCTATCCTTCATGCCGTCGTTCCTTATTTTTCTCATTTATTTCTTCTCTTCTTCCTTTCTTTTAATCATATTTGTTCTCGTTGCTTTCTTCTTTCTATCATTAGATTTTTTCATTTTTCTTCATCAAAACTTTTTCTTTTTACTTCCTGTAGGCTTTATCATCATATCTCATTGTCTTTCTTTCTTTTTCCTTCTTTGTCTTTGGTTTTTTCTTCTTTCTTCTACTCATTCTTACCCCTTGTTTTTTTTCTATAATACTTTATTTTGTTTGTTTGTGTGTTTCGTTCGCTCTCATCCTTCATTCATTTTTCGCTCTCTACCGTCATTCATTTTCTGCTTAATTCGTTCATTTTTTTTCCTTTTCCGTACTCGTTCTTTCTCTTTTTCTCGTTTTCCATCATTGCTTAAAATCTTTCTTTGCCACTTCTTATTCTTTTCTTCCTTCTCGCTTTCTTGTATTTCTTCTTTCTTCTCTTTTTCGCTTATTGCTTTCTTTATTTTCGTTTCTTTTCACTCTTCTTTCTTTCTCTTGTCTTTTTTTTCTTTCTTTTCACTTTGTCTTCATTTTTTCTTTTCTTTCTTCTACCATTAGGGTGTCATTTTCGCCTTCTCTGTTTCTCTTGTGTTTTTCCATCTTTTTCTCTTCTATTTATATTCCTTCTCTCTTTAGCGTTTTCTTTTTCTTTTCACATTCTCTTCTTTTTCTTATTATTCCCTTTCTTTTGTTTTCCCCTTCTTCCGTAATTCTATTTCTTTTCTTTTTCTTTCTTACTCTAAACTTTTTTCTCTTCTCTTTTTCTCCTCTCTTTCATTTCTTTTTCTTATGTCTTTATCTTTTCTTTCTTTTCTTTGTCTTCTTGTCTCTTCTTTTTCTTTTTTTCTCCTTCTCATTCTTCCTTCTTCGCTCTTTCAGTTATCTTTTTCTTTTTTTTCTCGTTTCTTTCTTTCTTTGTATTCTCTCTTAGTCTTGTCTTTCCTTTTTTTCATCTCTCGTTCTATTTTCTTTGTTTTTTTCTCACTTTTGTTTCCTTTTTCTGATATTTTCCCTCATTCACTTTATCAGGAAAGAGCTTTTATTTCTTTCTGCGACATGTAATTAAAAAAATATCTTCAATTCTGGTTTTGTTGCCTTAAATCCATGTCCTTATCTCAAACCCCGTCTTTTTTCTTTTATTTATTATTACCCGTCACCCCTTTTTTTCTCATTTCCCCTACCAATTCTCTTTCTTCTGCTGTCCATATTAGATAATTAATCGCTTCTCGAAGAACAAAATTATGACTTAACGTTTAAGTTTTACAAAGCACTTCTTTCCCTATCTTGTCAGACGTCCTATTGCCATTTTAGATTCAAACTAGTTCCCTGCTCCAATTTTATGAGTTGGGATTTCATCTACCAAATCGTCATCATCTCCGTCTGTCTAAATGTCTTTGATGCATGGCTTGCCAGTTCTTAGAAACTACTTATTCACCCATTTAGAGATGCAAGGACGAACAAGGTTGATATCGATGGCCCGATCGCCTGCAGTTGGGCTCGTCTCTTCCTCTGTGTCCATCTTGAATGATCGATGGTCGACTGCTTGGACCCCTGTCTACTTATGGTCATATAAAAACAGACGCTTTCGTTTATTTGTTTCTTTTTTTTTCGGTGGACAGTGAAAATAGTATACGTTACTCGTAGCACTGAACCCTGAACTTTTCGTCTTGGTGGGTTTCTGGTTTTGCGCTCCGACAATTTCGGATAGAGTATCATTGTTCAACCCGGATTTAAAAAGGTCATGGGAGGGCAACGCAGTTCCCAATGTTTGATTGGTTGGTTTGTTGATGTAGCTCGTACAGGAATTGAGAAAAATAAATTAAATGAAGAAGGAAAGCAAAACGTAAAAATAAATAGTAGTAATATTTTTTTTTTTTTTTTTTGAGGAGATAAAAATTCTGTGTTATGCTAAATCAAAATTCAGGTAAAAGATGTTTCCCTTGTAAAAAGAACAATATTTACCAAGGTAAAATGATTCTTAATGGGAAATTCAGAATTTTCTATGAAAATTTTACATATCTATAAGTCTACCATTCGCCCATGCTTGGAATATTGCTGCCACACATCCTGCTATTTACCTTGAGCTATTTTCCCTTGATAAAATCCAAAGACGAATCAGCAATATTATCGGTCCTGATATGGCGTCTCGGCTTCAGTCACTTTCCCACCGCTGTAAGGTTGTCTCCCTGTGTCTTTTCTGTAAATACTTTCATGGCAAATGTTCATATGAGCTCTTCGCTATGGTACCAAGAGTTCTTTTTTTTAATTTAAGCGCAGTATTAGACTGGCATCGAGATCTCATCAATTGACAATTGTTCTGTCTAGATGTAACCGAAAATTCTATGCTTAGAGTATTTTTCTCTTACTTCTCGCTTGTAGAAATACCTTCTGGTTCCATACTTTCCAGCCAACTTTAATCTGTAAAAATTTAAATGCAATGTCTATTGCTATCTACTGTCCTCCAGATTACTTTTTTTCTTGCCGCTCATTATTAATGTTTTTGTTCTTAATTCTTACACACCCTGGGACCCCTTGTGTCTGGGTCGTTTTACTGCCTTGCATGGGGGTGTTACCGACTAAACAAATTAGAAAAAAGAGATTATATGATACCATAGGTAAAATTTCTTAAGCAAATGCACCAACCCTTTCATTCATGTACTGATTATATACATATACCTTCAATGTGTCGCGTGAGGGCTAAGTTTGCCTGGGTTTCCTTCCTTTTTGTGTGTCCAAGGAAATTCCGTTGTTTCTTCCTGATTTTGAGTGTCAGTGTTTTTCCTGTTGCCATTTTCTTTGGAACTTCCTTGTTGCTTACTCGCTCTGTCCGTGGAATTTCCACTATCCTTCCGTAAAGCCACATTTCTCCTGTCTCTAGATTTTCCTCATCCTTGACGAGATGGTACAGCATTGACTACCATATAGTAGGATGTATATCAGATAGCAATCCAACACTCTTTTCTTTGTTTCTAATGAAATTTACTATTTATTTTTTCTCACAGCGCTTTTGGACAGGAGTAGAGGTTTATCCTTTTCTTTCCTGTTTAAGATTGGGTTTCTGGTTGATTGTCAAGTCTACTTCAACTGTATGCTTCTAACGTTTCCGCCTAAAACTCTGCTTTTATTCCCATTTGTTCCTCGATAGTGTAGATATGCTTGCCTGTCGTAGGGTTCACAATCCTCCCCGGTTTTTTGAAGAGGAATAGAAGATTATCCCTTGTTTCCTGTTTAGGATTAAGTTTCCGGTTTTTTTCGAAAGTTTTATTCCTTCTATTTCACTTCCGATGGCGTCTTGCGTTTTGGTGGCATTATCACTTTGCTTGGAGCGGTGCCCTTTACTCTGTAAACCAGTTTGCAAATTAAGCCTCTTCGGTTTACTATTGAAGTAGCTAAATGTAACTACGCGCAAATTCTCCTCTAATAGTTTCTTTTCTTGTATACTCCGACCGAGGAACTCTCTTCCAGTTTATTGCTTCCTTGCCACTAACATTTTTCAGAAATTTAAATCCAACGCCAATCGACATCATCTGTTTTCCTGAACAATATTCTTATTATTGTCATTTCTCCTTATTAAAGTCTTCTCGTTCTCTTTCACTCCTAGTAACCTCTTTGCCTCTTAGTAGCATTATCGCCTTGCTTCGAGTAAAAAGATTTTTAAAAAATATCAACGTTTTTGTGGGAAGTACAGCCACAAGGATCTGGTTTAGAACGAAGAGAAGCCCTAGGCTATTCCATTTGTGAAATTCCCACTTCTCAAAAGTAAAAGGAAAGTTAAAAGACGTTAAATTAAAACAATTTATGTAAAGCCGAGGATGATGATGGGTATTTAAAATTACTGAATGGTTGTTTAGCGTCTATAATGTGTTATGACAGCATGTGTAAGAAAGGCCTATGACAGTGTAAAAAATGATATACACCTTGGCTGGAGTTCCCCTAGATTTTGAGGCTCTAGGCTTCAACCTGCTAAGCCTATAGGTAAATTCGGCACTGGCTGCAACACTTGAGCCTTTGCCGTTCAAAATGTTGAAGAGTATAAAATGTAATTGGTCAGTCGTTTCATTTACTCGTCTATTATCTTCAAACATACCGGTCGATAATTCTTGCCTGAATTCTTGAAATGTGGAATTATTTGTTCGGACCAGTGGCCTAATATTTGTCGTTATCGTCTCAATATTTCAGCCGTTGTGCCCTCCGGCCACCTTCAGGTGTCTGTAGTCGTTGGTAACCTTTCGAACCGAACGTTTTAATCAATTCACGGGCCTACATTCTTGTCATTCCACTGTCTATGCCAAGGAAGATAACTCGTATTGGTTAAATCTGCCTCCCTTATTCATTATCCCTTGTCTCTCACACTAGTGTTCTTTATCCGATTATTCTGTTGGATTTGATCCCAGTTCATATATACATATACTGTTAAATACACGGTTAAATTCATAACCTCATATTATTTAAAATATGTAACACATAAATTAATCCATAAGTAAAATGAATTAAATAATAATTTGCATAAAAAAATATCAAGAACATCATTTACTCACTTTCATTGAATCATGACATTTGACGTTCTCCATAGCTTGCCTACACATTTAGGTCAACCTGATGAACATTTATGAAGTTTAAAAAATTGAAAAACAATCCTTGCTTGTGTACATAAATACTTTTTACATCATAATATACATGCATTTGCCTTGATAGAGTTCTTCGGCGGACTAAACGCGTCAGCTAAGATAAGTTTTTTTTTTTGTCTTATATATATATATATATATATATATATATATATATATATATTTTTTTTTTTATATTTTCCTTTTATATATATATATATATATATATATATATATATATATACAGGAAAACTATATATATTTATATATATATATATATATATATATAAAATTATGTATATTTTCCTTTTATATATATATATATATATATATATATATATATATATATATATATATATATATATATATATATATATATATATATATATATGTCGATAGCCTATGGATTAGAATCTCCGAATGATACCAAATCTCTCGGGTTTCGGTCACACGGCCTGAAGCGATTGGATATCTAGCCAAACTGATAAGCTGTGATGCAGCTAAACTGTCTGTCTGTGGATGACTATATATATATATATATATATATATATATATATATATATATATATATATATATATATATATATATATAATAGCCGGACATTCATATTCGAAGATACACGTCGACTAGGGAGGCTAGCCAATCCCTATTGCAGACTCTCGCTCAGGTACATTTGTGTTAGCTCAACACCAACATAGCTAACCTGTGGTTTATACTACAACTATGCTGAGCAGACCTTAGTTACAGTTTATGGGAGAGTGCGTGTTATCTAGAATGATCAACAATCTGAACAACACCAGTACACTGAAATGCTCGGTCACGATCACTTGTGAGTTCGTGCTAGTACAGCTATCGACGGCCCCAGGTGTTCGGTATACTTAATTTCACCTGCATGGCTTGGGTCAACCTGTGGTATGGTTTTTTCAGGTACTTTCCCAAGGTGCCGCACACTGGGATCATCCCCCTCCAGACTGATAACATCAGGAAGTCTCCTTCCTGCCAAATCGACCATTGTGAGATTCGAAATGCGCTACAGTTACCTTCCAATGAGATATTTTTTGACTTTTTTAAAAGTAAAAGATAACATTTCAGTCGCTACAGTGTATTTGGTTTTATTTTGACAGAAATAATACAGAAATATCTCATTTTAAGGTTTTGTAAAGAAATGCAGGATGGCCCAAATATTTTTCCTGTAACGTATATATGAGCAAAGATACATAAATCTATATGCTATATGGAAACATGTAAAATTAGATAACTCATCCCAAATTGTGTCGAGGGATATATTATTTAATATATTATTATATATTATAAATTTATATAATTTGTATTTATATATGTATATTATTATATAAGATTTGTATATTTTTTATTTATACACAAATACCTATGCATAAGTATAGATAATAGAAAATTGTATAATTTAATTTCATCTACATATAAAATAAAATCTCTCTCTCTCTCTCTCTCTCTCTATATATATATATATATATATATATATATATAATCATATATATTTATATATATATATATATCATATATATATTTATATATATATATCATATATATATTTATATATATATATATATATATATATTTATATATATATATATATATCATATATATATTTATATATATATATGATCATATATATATTTATATATATATTATCATATATATATTTATAAATATATATATATATATATATATATATATATATATATATAGTGAGAGAGAGAGAGAGAGAGAGAAGACAATAAGATATATATGTATATAAAGCGTTAATAGCATTTAATTGCACACATAAACTATTTTTATTGGTGCAATAAAACAGGGTGTGGTCTTTCATCTTTTTTTGCATCCAGCTTTGTTTTATTTGAAATCGGCAGGAAAAAGCCACATGATTCAATTTTATTTATGTACGCGTGAAGCATTTAATTCTGGCATCATTTTAGAAGCGCGGCTTTGCGCTAAAACAATCAGAAATCGTTTTAATATCATCTGAAAAATGAAACACAAAGAAAGTTCTTTCACTTGGTGCTTTTGAACCGATGCAGATATATTTGGCAAAACTTTCTAAATAATAATGACAATGACCAATCTTTAAAGGGATCTTTAGTACGTGTATTTCGTTTCGTCGACTACTTATTAGGTTTCTCACAAAATCACTTGTCTTTGAGCTTAACCGCTCCCCGCCCCACACTCACTACTGTGTTCTGGATCTTCAAGGAACAGAAAGAACTCCATATTGGTGAAGACTTTATATCCAGCCAATAGCACGCCTTCTAACAACTTCGAATGTCGAAGTTTCAAAGACGAAGTACTCAACAGCTTGCACTAAGAAATAACACTGACAATATATAACTGCACAGCATAGTAGGGTCATTTACGTATCGTCTGTGAGAAAAAAGCGCCATGACGCAATGTTACACTTACTGCAAGGACAATTAGTTCACAGTGTCGTTCCAGAAAAAAAAAATCTTGTCAGAATACATCTTGCATATTTATGCAGGATGCGATTGATAAATTGTCGCCATTTTATATTTCATTTAATTTTGCGCATGCGCGTTGCTTTGATCTTGTCTTTTGCATAGTATAGTAGCATCAGTTGGGCACCGTCTGTAAGAAAAAAAATCACCATGATGAAATTCACTCCGCCAGAAATTTGGAAACGGCATGCTGTACTGCTTGGCATTCAGGCCGGAAGTGCCAATACGAACATTTCATAATGTTTGGGTGTCAATCTGAGGACAGTGCAGAGGATTCGGAAAGAACTAGATGAGTCTAATGGTGATTACGAAGGTGTTTGGAGTGATCACTAGTGACGGCGACGTTATGCCTCCATTCGTCTTCCCACAGGGCCTCAGAATCAACACAGAAGCCTACATCAAGCGCCTTGAAGAGGTATTGCTGCCCCGAGGCAAGAGTATGGATTACATCAGGCCACCTAACTCCCCCTTGATTATTATGTGTGGGGTGCAGTTGAGCAAAACTCCTTGTAACATCAAATATGAAGTGAAGGTAAGGATTATGGCAGCATTCACCAACTTAAACAAGGACACCGTCAAGGAGATACAGGACTTTCGAAGTCGTCTCGAGACAGGCCGTGGTTGAAAGCAATGGCGATTTTATTGAATAAATTTACTCTTTAGAATTTTAACATATTTTGGCGTAATTTCGTTAAATATATGTTAAAATGAAATGTCAGTGTTATATATATATATATGTGTGTGTGTGTGTGTGAGAGAGAGAGAGAGAGAGAGAGAGAGAGAGAGAAAGAGATTATTCAGTGCAGAATCAGCGATTGTGTTATTTCCTACCGACTGGGTTTTGATTACTATCTTTATCTCCATTTCCTCGCACGTTTCGGTCCCTTTTTCTCTCTTATTTGGAATTAAATTCGCCATTTACAACCAGATAAGAACTTTATCCAATAGGAAGAGCTAATGTCCTCCGCGCAAATACCTATTTTTTCCGAAGAGATCAATGTCCTGGTGTAGATAACGACAAATTTGCCTTCCAAACGCGCCAATATATTTTCCCAGATATTCGTTGGGATTTCTCGTTTAGGCTTTCCAAACATTATTTCAACGCAGCGAAAAAAAAAATCTAATTAATAAAATGAACAAGAAAAGAAAATAATTTATCTCATTTAAATTACGGCGTCCAATATTCATTGACAATAGATATCGATTTAAAATCTCTTACACATTACATTTATATACGTGGATGCATATTTAACATTGCAGATAATATAAATATAGGTGTGCGGGAGGTTTAATGGTTAGCGTCTCGGAATAGATCGGCGTGTCATGTTCGAATTTTAATCGAGTCCGTCGCATTCACTTTCGAGAAAATACTCTTGGGAACGATGAGAATTATGAAGTTAATTGTAGTACCGATTGGTTTCTCTTTTTTTGTAACCAGTAAAGGAGATGACAACACTGAATTCAATCTGAAACTTTATAAAGATGGTTAGATAAGGGGTGTTTTATAATTATATCAATCGTTTCTCTAACTAAGATACTGTAACTAAATTTTCAACATCAAGCGAGGCTATGGTTTCATTATTAGGTTTTTCATCATCTCAACATCAAGAAACTAATCAGACAAATTGAAAGTAGTAGTATAAAAATAAGTAGATACAATATGTCTATATTATTAAATAAACCATAAAATATGCTGCCTGAATATATATATATATATATATATATATATATATATATATATATATTTTGTTGGATAGATGTGAGTTTGTGACCCTGGTTTTTACGCTTTAGCGATCGTCAGACAAACGTTTGTCTGACGATCGCTGAAGCGTGAAACCCAGGGCACAAACTCACATCTATCCAACCAAATATGTTAGCTCTATCTTTGATATTGAGCGCTTTCTAATAAGTACCGCGCATATAATGTATAATTATACATATATATATATATTTATTTATATTTATATACACTTTTCACGTATATATATATATATATATATATATATATATATATATATATATATATATATATATATATATGTATTAAATTATATGATCCAACACTTAGTAATTAAAGTGTAACCTTGTGAAAAGGCAAATCATAATCGCAAATGAAAACTTAAAAAACTCTTAATAAAAAGCACAGAATATACACAACAGACTTAAATTTGTCGGAGTTAACTCCTCCTTAATTGTCCAAATTGTTCACTAGAGAACGCTCTCCCTACACTATAAATACTGGGCGATTTCTTGCCTCTTTCACTTTTTCATTTCATCATTTTCAGCGAACACATCTACAATGTAAGCTCTCGCTGAAGATTGCGTCTTTCTATTTGTGTGAGACGCCATGAACAACATAGGCACATACACGTACGTACGTACGAACATTCACCAAAATACAAACTCTACGTTCACATATAAACACAAATGTCAATGTCTATGTCCTTTGCAAATTTTGTTGTTTAATATATATATTTGTTGATATATATATATATATATATATCGATTTTGTTTGTTTTCTTTACACTTCTTTATGGTGGATTCACTCTCTGAGTCCATCTTGTAGTGGACCTTCTTCTAGCAGGAATAAACAACGTGTTCCTAATTTAAAAACATGTACATCCCACGGTCCGCTACAAATTCTTAACAACCCTTGAACAGTTTTATGAAATTCTACAGAAAATCTAAAATATGGCCAATAAATAAGAAATTCAGTACCGTCTGAACATTAAAAAATCTTAATATGTTGTATGCTATACCAAGGAGCTATCAATCTCGCAAATAACAAAGGTAAATTCATTAATATCTCTAACTGCGAACTAACACACCACCAAAAGAAATTGCTCAACGTAGAACCTGACTTTCATCTTTACTAACAATACAATAGATTGGACAAAAAAAAAAAGAAAAGAAAAGAAAAAAAAAGAAGACTGAAATTGAAATGTTATGTCAAAATATACAAAATCTTAAAGAACAACAACTAATTAAAACACAGCCAGAAATTCGCGAAAAACTAAAAAAACAAACAAACAAAAAAAAAAAAACGGACACGTCAGAGGGAATGGTGGTGGTGGTGGTGGTGGTGGGGCCTTCTCCATACTCCTAACAAGGTGCTACTATAATTTTCGTAAGAAAAATGAGATTTCGACGGCTATGGATAATCCCACTGGAAAACAATTAACCTAGAATTCTGTTAACACAGCCATTGCTGCTGCTGCTAAATCCCATATCATGAGAGCCACCTTGTACCGCCAGCTCTTACAGTTTGGGCAGAGAACTGGAACTTTCTACAGCACCATATTAATCAACTGGAAAACCTGGTTTCATGTTATATGACAAATGCAAACTGAACCCGACTGGAATTGGAACTCGGCTCTCCGATTTCAAATTCAGTGCCGTTAATATCCAATACACCACGCTCACATCTAAGTTTGCAGCACCTGGTATTCCCAAGCTGTTACTCATGAGGATACTGACCAGGCTCGACATTGCTTAACTTCGGTGATCGTATGAGAACCAGTTGTAGTGGACCAATATGTTGATTATTGGCTTTACTTCGCAAAATCCCGTCGGGGTCACCATTATGTAGTGAACCAGGGAGTGAAGATGTAAAGAAAACACGTGCGTTTATATTTCCTGCTAGAAGGTCCAGCTACAATAGAATGCTGGACTTGGATTAGCCCAACTGAATATTTGGAAGACAAACAAACAAGACCGATATATATAAAGAAATATATCTATTAAACAAAACATTTACAAAGCACATAGACAGTTAACATTGTGTTTATGTGTGAACATTTGTGTGTGTGTGTGTGAACGTTCGTATTTTGGTGAATGTTCGTAAGAGTTCGTATTGTCCTGAATGTCCGTAAGAGGTCGTATTGTGGTGAATGTTCGTTATAATTCGTATTTTGGTGAATGTTCGTAAGAGTTCGTATTGTGGTGAATGTCGGTACGTCCGTGTATGTTGGTAATGTTCTTTAACGTTTGACAATAATTCTCTGGGACTACATTTTGCAGCATGAATAGAGAAGAAAGAGAGGAAGAGGCAAACTCGTGTTTGTTTTTATAGATAATGTAATCACGTGACAGGCTTAGAGCGCCTTGGCTGGAAGCTTGACTTAGTCACGCGCTGGAAACATATATTGTGCGTGGATGGATTGCAACGCCCACTTGTGTGTTTATTGACCAATTAGAAGCTAATATTTTCTGAAAAATATTTACTAAGCTAAGAAGGGTCTTGGTATCCGATTCTCCCAAAAGTGCACAAAATCGACGACATGAAAACATAGCGATTATAAAATTGTCGCATAGCTGCGATTTATAAACTGTCTATTACAAAGCAGTGTTGATTTATTATCCAATGAATGCTTGATGTCGTATAATTTGAATTTATGTAAGTATGTATGTATGTGTATGATCATCATTACACACTGTTTCAACTTGCTATGATCGTAAACCCTAAACGATGTGTACGTGTCAGTAGCAGTAATAGTTGTAATATAAAATTAGATAAATAATGCATGTATATACAAAGTCGGACACTGAGGCCAACATCGAGCAGAGATAGTCTGTTTGATGCTTGAACAAAATTTTCATGGCCTGAAGATTGCTTGCATAGTTAGTAGGTTGTGTTAGGTGTTAACCTCAGTGTCCACTTTTTTGCTGATTGATCGAGTGAACTGGAATAAAACCGACGGCGGGATAGTAGCAATTTTTTTTTTCGTAATCCTAAAGGCATAAGATATTTTAATCTTTTTATTTTTAAATATTTCATAAAGACTCCGATGCGTTACCATACAACGTTTTCTGGGCTGTTTTTGTTTCTTGTTTTTAATAAACGAACAAAAAAAAAACGAAACGGACTGAAATAATAGAGGGTGGATGTAAAAACAAATATAGGTTAAAAGTGTGAAGGAAAAAGAAACTGAAAAATTCCCCGTTAAGATTGACGGCAGCCGAGAAATGAAAGCGAAGATGTAGTCGGATAAAAATCTCAAAGACGAAAGTATTCTTTTGAATTTCTTTCTGGTGGGAATGCTTAAATATATCAAAGAATTGTCGACGACGTTAGATGTTCACATTTCCTGCTTCAGTGTTCGGGGCGGCCATTTCTGTAGATGGTTTGAGAGGGTTGGATGTGGATTTATGTTTATCGCAGTATTTGTTAACGTAAGTTTCTCGTTTCTATAACACGGTATGTTACGCTTTGCCATGCGCATGCGCGTATGTGTGTGTGTCACTGTGTAATAATGGTTTTAAGAAAGGTGTATTTATAACTGAAATAATATGGTGCAAATATCTACATGAGTAAGCATACCAAGTAGATAAAAAAAGATCCATACTGATATGTCTTCTATTTGTATGTGAGATATCAATCTCTGATGATTTATTGTTTGATATTAAAATATGTTCTCCTGGGCGTGTACAGCAATATATATATATATATATATATATATATATATATATATATATATATATATATATATATATATATATATATATATATTACAGAGAGAGAGACAAAGAGAGCGGGAGAAACAGAGATTGACTAAGTTTAAACATAATCCATTGCTGATCGACAACAGGGTAGGATGATTTTTCTAAATTAAAAGAACTGATCGCCTAGAAAACTGTCTGGCACAAGGCCAAATGGGGATAGACTCATTTAGCAGTCAGATACTAGACATGCTTAGCAAAATTATGCCATGATATATATATATATATATATATATATATATATATATATATGGTGCATCAAAAATAATTTAACAAACCTCTGGGGTGGCTACCTCATATTAAAACAAGGACAAAAGTTCATATATACATATGTCCGCATATCATTCGTTTTTGAGTTATTAAGTTTAAATTAAGTTAATGGTGGATGACGTTTTGTTTCTATGTATACTAGGTTACATTTGTCATTCGTGTAAATTTGTGTCGTGTTTGTCTGCAACCTTTAACGTGTGCAGTTTTGAGTTAACTGAGAGTGTCCCGTTTAACAATGGCAGGATATTCATATCGTGAGCAGGCAGATATTATTTTTACATACGGCAGTGCGAATGGTAATGGACGCGAGGCTACACGGCTGCATCAGATTGTGTTTCCAAATCGAAGGCAGCCGAGTTATCCAACCTTTGCTGCCATTTATCGTCGCGTTACCGTGCAACCATAAATTATAGATAGAGGAGATCCGCTCGTACGCCTGACCACGAAGAACACATTCTACAGGCTTTCTGAACCTATGAAACGGCCCTAAAAGATAGCGGATTCCCAGCAATACTCACATACTCACCACAGAATACAAAAAAGGCCAACAGGAGAAGAAATATCATATGGTTCAACCCACCGTACAGCAAGAACGTAAAAACAAACGTAGGAAAAATATTCTTCAAACTCTTACACAAACACTTCCCAGAATCAAGCACCTTACACAAGATATTCAACAAAAACACAGTAAAAATCAGCTACAGCTGTACCGAGAGCATGGCACAAATAATAAAAAAGCACAAAGGAAAATTATCAACAAACCACACGAACAAATTAAACCCACGTGCAACTGCAGAATAAAGAACGAATGTCCCTTAAACGGAAATTGTCTACAAAACAACGTAATATACCAAGCCACGATAAAATCACCAGATAATGAAGAAAAAGTATACATAGGAGTAACTGAAGGACCCTGGAAGCAAAGAAATTATACACAAAAACATCGTTCACAAATAGTAAATATGCGAACAGTACTATGCTTTCTAAGTATATCTGGGAAATAAAAAACAAAACGCACATCACACCAAAAATATCTTGGAAGATAAGGAAAAGTCATCAGCCTACAACAACCAATCAAAAAAAAAACAAACTTTGCTTGGAGGAAAAAAAAATAGCTATCATTACTTTCCCCGACCAAAATAAATTATTAAATAAAAGATCCGAGCTCATCTCAAAATGCAGGCATGAAAATAAATTTTTACTACGTAACCTAAAAAATGAAAAACGGAAAAAATAAAATAAAAACAAACAAATACACTAATAAAAAAAAATAAAAAATAAAAAATAAATAAATAAAATAAAATAAATATCTGTTGCTTAAAAACCGAAAACCAAAAAGAGAAAATATACAAATAAATTGACCTAAATTCATCCAAGTAAATAAATAGACAAACCAATCCCAAATTAAAAAACTGTTCCCGCCAAAAAAATAATAGTTAGAATGAACTACAACAACCAACCCCAAAATTGAACAAATAGCTTTAATTAAATTCTCAAACCAAAACAAAACTGTTAAATACGTGATATAAACAAATTTTTACTACGTTAATAAATAAATAAATAAAGGAAAAATAAAAATAAAAACGAGCAATATAATTTGACCCAAATAAATAAACAAAGCGACTTCCGGTAAAAATAACCGCCATAATAGAATACCCACAATGCACCACTAACCCGTATATATATAAATAGCCGAGAAAAATAACAGCATATGTGGCCTGACGATTGCATATAGCATGAAACAGACTGTCGCCTCTAAGTGTTGACTTCTATGTTCACTTTTATATATATATATATATATATTGTTACCAACCTTTCATTTAAACATGTATCGTTGAATATGACAGACATGGAAGAATCAGTTAATTTTTATTTATTTTTTCCATCATTCTGACATTTTTTACGGTTAGTGAGATTAAGGGAGAGCAAAACTTGTCTGTATTGTCCATTGTCCCAAGCGCTTTCGGACACTTTTTTAGAAATCGTCAGGCGGTCGGCAGCTGTAAGGGAAAAATTGAAGCTTTTATTCACCTAGGAAAAAGATAAAGATGGAACGAAGATATGGATGATGTTCGTGCACCATGCATGTGCCAACCAATCTATATATGTATGTATGTATGTATGTATGTATGTATGTATGTATGTATATAAGTGTGTATGTATGTATATATATATGTTTCATTAAAAGCGACTGACGAGATAGATAATGAAGAGATATAGATAGATGGATAGATAAATAGATAATGAACAGATATGGATAGATAAGATATGTAGTAAGATGTGGCAATCACTATATATATATATATATATATATATATATATATATATATATATATATATATATATATATATATATATATATATATATATATATATATATATATATATATATATATATTCCAATCTTTCTTTTAAACGTGTTTTGTTGAATATGAGAGACAAGGAATATTCAGTTAATTTTTATGTAGTTTTTCCAGCATTCTTACATTTTTCGGTTAGTGAGAGTAAGAGAGAGCAAAACGTGTCCGTATTGTCCATGAAAAGACCGAGCTAGCTAGCTAGATAGCTAGATAGATAGACAGAGAATGAACACACACACATACATACACACACACACACACATACACACACATATGAACAGAATGAGATAGATTAGATAGATAATGAACAGATATATATAGGCAGATAATAAACAGAGATAGATCGATAGATAGATAGATAGATAGATAGATAGATGTATAGTCTGTTTATCGACAAAAGCTTTTCTTAAAATTGTATATACCCCTACGCTATTCTCTTTATCCTGATCACAGCCTCCACTATCGTCTCGGTTTCTTTCACCGATGAAATATCAAATATGAGGGACAAATGAAACAGGCCATGTTGATATATGGGGGTTGAATCACAATACATCTGATGCTGTAGAAAAATGACAAGCAAACAACGAATGCACTGACATCATGCACAGACGGAATGGAATGACGTGTGTGTTGTCCATAACCGCTTCTTTGCGATCATCGCCATTGTCCTTACCGTTTATCATCATCCTCGTCGTCGTCGTCGTCATCATCATCGTCATCGTCGTCGTCATCATCATCATAATCGTCGTCATCTTCATCATCAGTCTCATGAGCAGATGTAGCCCAAGGGTCGCTGCGCAACTGAAAACCTGAACATTTATTCCCACATATCTGGCTTGAAATACACTTTCCTCAGCAGAAAATCTTGGTGGCGGAACCGGTTTAGTCGCCAGTGACCCGACAAAAAAATCTACAATACTACCAAGCATAAATTGCAATCTTGCTTTTTGTTGTAACCTAGAAAAGTTTGCTGAATGACGAATAATCAAAATGGAGGTTGGGAATGGAATGCCAATCTTTATAACATCAACAACATACAATACTCACCAGCAGCGTGAAGTAGGTAAACCACTGCTAGTGGTGGACTAATTAGACAGCATATTATCCCCACTTACTATAGTTTCCAACGTATTTATCAGGGCTGGGACATACCCATTAGTGTTCATAGTAACGGCATATAACGATATATACATGCAAGATATATAAGAGCTACAACATTTTGGCGAGTCATCATCACCTCCATCTTAAAGGAATACAGCACGAAGAAGAAAAGAAGAAGAAGAAGAAGAACAACAACAACAACGACAACGACAACGACAACATTATATACAAGATGTAAATACCTGTTGTAACCTAGGAATGGTTACTGAATGATGAATAACCAAAACAGAGGTTGGAAATGAAATGGTAATCTTTATAACATTAACAAAATACAATACTCGTCAGCAGTGTGATGTATGTAAACCACTGCTAGTGGTGGACTACTTGAACAGCTTATTACCCCCACTCACTTACAATAGTGTCCAACGTATTTACCAGGATTGAGACATACCCATGCGTGTTCATAAGCGCGGCATATAACACTTTTATGAAAAGAAATGATTACACATGGCGGAAATAAGTTATCAGCCTTTTTGCAAATCATTTTAAACATGCATAAACATTTTTACAAACACTCACAAAAACACAAATCTATACACGATGAATCGCGTTAATAGCCACTTCGTGTTTTATCGATATGTAAAATAATTACCTCTTAGAATTTAATGTCTTTTGGCTAAACCATGACAGTATTAATCTACATATTTATACGATCACTAAAATAAAGCAACGTCGAGCCTGGTCAGTACTTTGATCGGTGACCGCTGGAGAATACCATGTCCTGTAAAATTGAATGTGCGAGTGTAAGGAATAATGGCTTGGGATTGTTAATCGGGGAACCGAGTTCCAATTCCAGTTGGGTTCGTTATATTTATATAAATATGTGAATCGACCTTTCCTCCCGCCGTCTATGGGTTTAATTAGTAAGACTTTTTAAAATCGATATCACTCCAAGCAAAACAGTAATACCACTAAAACGCAAGGGGTTGCAAGACGTGGAAGGATTAGTAATGTTAATGAGTAGGGAGAGAAAAGAGTAATCCGGGTGACAGTAGATAGCGATTGACATTGCATTTTAATTTTTGCAGATTAAAATTGATTGAAAAGCATAGAGCCGGAAGAGAGTTACGCAAGCAAGATGTGCGAGAAAAGAAACTGTTAGCATAGAATTTGCAGTTACATCTAACACAACATTAATTGATGAAATCTTGACACCAGTCTAGTACAGCGCTTAAATTTAATTTATAAAGAGCAATATTTATTCTGTGCAATACAGAAATGTGGCACAAGGCCGTAGGCAGGATTGGGTAACGGACGGTCCTCTTCTGTCTTAACTATAACTTAGCTAGCCGCAAACACTGACCCAATCTTACAAACAATATTCCTTACACCAAAACAACAAATTCATATGTACCTTTCCTACTACATCCACCATAATACCTCATTGTCTCTATAAAAATACTAACTAGTCCCCATATTTACAATGCTCCAACAAAGAGCTCATCCGAACAATTACCATGAATGTATTTATAAAAAAGACACAGGGAGGCAACCTTATGGCGGTGGGCAAGTGACTGAAGCCGAATTGCCATATACTATTGGTGATTCTTCTTTGGATCTTATCAAGGTTCTCTAGGTAAATATCAGAGGCACGGACCATAGTGGCAGCTATATTCTAAGCATGGACGAATAGTAGACTTATAGATATATAAGATAGATTCCGGAGAGAAAATTGTCTCACACGACACAGTGAATCCACCTTCTTAGCAGTTGACCTAAGAATGGATTCAATATAGTCTTTTCAATTCGTCAGATGAAAACGTTAGCCCAAGTCAATTGCCTGGAGGTTAGCATCAACCATTCTGATGGAAAGCAGAAAGGGGTATCTCAGATGATTAATGGAGAGAAGGTTAGTTTTGATGGCGTTAAAATTGACAAATCATCTTTTGCCCCTATTTACGACGGTCGTTTAGGACATTGGCTGCCAATTTGACCTAGTCTGACTGATCAGTTTTTCTATCAACGCAGGAGTAAATCGTTACGACCATCACCATTGTCCTTCTTGTTTATCATCATCATCATCATCATCATCATCATCAGTTTATGAGCAGGTGTAGCTCAAGTAGATGCCAAGTTGAGCGCTGATGTCATCATGAATGTCGTTAATGAAAACTAAAAACTGCATAGGACGAATGATAAAGTCCTGGGAAATACCCGCGTTAGTACGAATGGATCTAGACTAGTGGCCGTTCAGGGTAACGTTCATTTCACAATTTGATAGAAAAGACTGGATGAGCTCAAAAATGAGTCCGAACCTTGTGGAGAAAACCTGTATGCCAGACCATGTCAAAGGCTTTCGAGATGTCCACTGCTACAACTCGGGCTTCACTGTTTTTATCTAGAGCATGATAGACTCTTTCAGCACTTATCGTGAGGACATCAGCAGTTGACCTGTAGAAACGAAAGTTGTATTGCTTGTCTGAGAAAAGTTCCATCGATGAGAGATGATTAACCAGTTCAGCCTTGATTTAGCGTTTGTAGGATTTTCCCAAAAAGAGACAGAATGCTAATAGGCTGATAGTTGAATAGGTCAGATCGTTCAACAGAGAATCTTAAAAACTGGAACAAATAGCAGGCAGCGAAGCAGGCGACAGCGAGACGTTTATTATAGAGTTTATAGAGAACAGTAGCCAGTTCTGAAGCACACTTCTTAATTACTATTACAGGGGTACCATCGAGTTCTCATGCTTTATGGGGATCAAGATTAGAGATGATAGCAGAAACCATGGAAGGTGTTATATGCATATCACTCAACAGGGACTCACTTTTGAAGGGGAAGTTAGGCAAGGGCACTCCAGATGAGTCAAGAGTAAAGTTTGAGGAAAATTCAAATGTGAAGCATTCAGCTTTATCAGCATAGGATAATAACACCAGAAATTGATTGAATAGGGGGGGAATAGAGACCTTGCAGTTATTTATTACTAAATCATTATTTTTTTTTAATTCTTAGAATCTAAAACATATTGTCTGGCCTTACGTAACCTGCAATGAGTTGATAACCTATAGAAAACGCTATTTTCATTATTCGGGCTACTGTCCTCATCTTTGTTTCCATATTTATCACAACGTTTCGACCGTTGTACGCAACAGCACTAGGGATCATCATTTCAACTAAATGCATTCTTATTGTTCAAAGTAGAGTCCAATAGTATTATAAAAACCTCAGAAAATTCCAGTAAGATATCTTTAATCATTATCTGTCTATATTTCTGAGATGAGGTATTATGTACACTATTTACATTGTTCAGACTATCATCCTCATCTCTGTTGCCACATTTATCACAACGTTTCGGCAGTTGTACGCTCCACCCTTCTTCAGGTGGTCGGAATGTCGAAGTGAACCCTTTATTTCGCTCGCTGGAGTAGACTGTTGTAGTTCCACGTGCCATGTTTAATGGATGTCAGTTATCAGTTATCTCCTGTTAATTCACCTCTCCACTGTCTTAACCAGGTATTGAACTCACAACACTTTGGGTCATGTCACTGGATATAACCAACGCCTTTATCTATTGTTCCATGTGTCCTTAATGACATCTGTCTATCACAACAAACGAAAGGGTTCAGTTCGATATTCCAACCACCTGAAGAAGGCCAGAGCGTACAACCGCCAAACCGTTGTGATAAATATGGCAACAAAGATGAGGAAAATAGTCCGAATAATGTAAATAGTGTACATAATACCTCATCTCAGAAATTTAGACAGATGCCATAGAAAACAACAATTCCGAGCCATTATCCATTACACGATCCGCACAACCAAGCTTACGGCACCTGGTATCCCCAGGCGGTCACTCATTTAGGTACTAACCAGGTTTGACGTTGCTTAACTTCCGTTATTGTACGGGAACCGGTGTTTCAACTTGAAATTACCGTAAGCCGGATACATAGCGAGTTTCACATTATGTTAAAATAACATCTCACTCATTTTGAAATGCTAATTATGAAAAACAGTACGAAAACCATCTGACATTTGATATAAAAGGCTTCAAAACCTCATCGCTAATGTCTTTCGGGATGATGGCGTAGTGGATATAGAAGTTAGTTATACATCTGTTAGTGTCATCTACTGATCATGGGTTCAATCCTTGGATCAACAGAAACAAATGCCAACTGATATTACAGGGATAAAATATCAGAATAATCTACAGTATTCCATAATCAATGAACACCTGATGATATGGTCGAAAAGTTATGACTATAATAACATCTATATCAACCAAGATGAAAACAATAGTTCGAAATAATACAATAATACCTCAGTCATTAATTGATGTTTTGAAGGCACAAATAGAACCATGGTTCAAGAAGAAATAAAAACAAAGCCCATAGATCAGTTCCTACACACGAATGCACCATCATATTCAGCAAATAAGACTAATGAATCTATGAATAAAACAGGTTTCAATTGCTTTCATTTGTTAAAATGTTTGCGTCGACACTGTGGGCCATTTTGAAAAGGAAGTTTTGGATTTACATACAACAATTGACAAATAAGTTCTGTTTGGCAGACTATTGTGGATGCTATTCCATGTGAAGAAAAATGACTGCTCATAAAATCTCTTAACATGGAAAATGCATTTCATAGAAATGTTGTCCTTATAACTTTGTTATCAATACAATGTAAATGTCCCTCCATAATTATTATTCACGTTTCGAAGTTGGAAACACTTTGTTTTCTCTTCAGTTTTCCTGATTATTATCTTTAATAGACACATCTCAATGGAATTACCCTATAAATCTGACTCTGCTAATACAAATAAAATGTCAATGGCATTCTTCTTCTTCTTCTTCTTCTTCTTCTTCTTCTTCTTCTTCTTCTTCTTCTTCTTCGTCTTATTATTATTATTATTATTATTATTATTATTATTATTTCCTTTGATTTCTGGTGTGTATTCATTCTTTTCCGGTCCCGACCAGTGACATGACATCTTGACATTTTCCACTGAGCAATTTTGAAAAAAAAAACACACATTTTACATAGATAAAGCCCTTCGTAAGGTGTGGATTGTACTCGTGAGAACAATTTTTTGTATTTCTTACAGGCATGGGCTACCTGGAATGAGTCTCTTGGAATCTTTCCCAATCAATCCGAGAGCTCCAACTATAACTGGAATTGTTGATGTTCTCATGTGCCACATTTTTGAGATTTCGATTTCAAGGTCCTTGTATTTTGATAGATTTTTTGAAGATCTCCAAAGATACATTGCAGTCTGCGGGGACTATCAATAAGGAGACACATGTTGTCTTTGTAGTCCCTAATCATGATGTCCGGGCGATTAGCATTGAGTGTTCTGTATGTGTGTATTGTGAAATCCAATAAGATTGTTACACGTCCAATCTCTGTAACCGGGTTTGGGTGGTGTTCATACCAATTTCTTGCCGTTTCTTGCAGTTTCCGTAAAAGTTGCAAATTTTCCATTGCAGATATTGGCATACTCTGTCATGCCTGGTTTTATATTCAGTAGGCACCAATACATATAAGATGGTCCATTGTTACTTGATATTTGATCACAGAATCTGCATTTTAGGCTAACGCAATTTTTCAGTATGTGTACTTGAAAATTTCTAGTTAGCAAGCACTGGTCCAGTGTAGCAAGAATAAAACCTTTGGTTTCAGCTTTTAACCCTGCATTACGAAGCCACTGATGGGTACGGAGTCTGTCTACAGCAGCTTGTTTGGTACGGGCAGAGTATTGGCCATGAAACTGTTTATCATGCCATTGTTTCTGTAGCTGGTCGGTTGCATTTACTGTTGCTTGCTTTTTTAAGTATTTTGCAGCTTCAGTCGGTGTATTGTGCTTTACAAGTATTTCTTAACTCATTTGAAACTCCCTTTTTTACTTGTTGGTTTCCTTATTATTATTATTATTATTATTTCCTTTGATTTCTGTTGTATACTCATTTCCTTCCCGGCCCCAGAATTATTATTATTATTATTATTATTATTATTACATAAAATGATTGATGTAACTCTTCCAATATTTTTCAACATTTAGGGAAGAGCGAAATTTAAGAAAAGCAAGAGCAAAGAAAATATATAATAATGTTCAATAATGTTCGACAGTGTTTGACGCGTTGGTTACCAGTACATCCGTTTTTCTCAAGACAAGCGACGTTTGTACAAAGACTTGTATTTTTTGCAGTTTTATATGTTTATACTTGTATACAATTTTTAAACATAATTTGAAGAAGACATACATACTGTCGAAATATTGTTGAACATTGTCAAATATTGTCTTTTCTTTTCTTTTCTCAAATTATCTCTAAGTGTTGTAATTATTATTATTATTATTATTATTATTATTATTATTATTATTATTTCCATTTGACTTCTCTTGTATACTCATTTCCTTCCGGGTCCCAACCAAAGACCTAAGGTCAGAAATGGCATCCTGACGTTTCCCACACATTTTACATTGATAAATCTCTTCGTAATATGAGAGCTGCATTTGTAAGTACATTTTTCATTACTTTAAGGCATAGGCTACCAGGGATCCATTTAATGCGTCTATTAGAACCTTTCCAACTACAACAGTATTATTGTTGTTTTCATCTGCTATCTTTTTTAGATTTCTACTTTAACATCCTTGCATTTTGATAGTTCGTTGAAGATCTTCACAGATACATTGCAGTTTTCAGGAAAAGCCATGTCTATAAGAAAGCAGATTCTGTTTTTGCGGTCTTTGATCACGATGTCTGGGCGAATAGCTTTGGTTGTAACGTCTGTGTTGTAAAGTTCTATATAATTGTTACGGGTCATATATGTATAACCGTGTCTGGGTGGTGTTCGTACTATTTTCTCGCAGTTTCCTTCCCGTAAAAATTGCAAATTTCCCGAGTGCAGATATGAGTCCACCCTGTCTTAGCGAGTTTTATATTCGATGGCTACTAACACCATGCAACTTGATGCAAGATGCTCAATTGTTTCTGGAAATTCATCGTAGAATCTGCATTTCAGGTTAACACAAATTTTCAGTATATGCGCTTGGTAATTTCTAGTTAGCAAGCATTCGTCCTGTCAAGCATGAATAAAACCTTCGCTTTCAGTATTTAATCCTGCACTACGTAACCACTGATGGTATTATTATTATTATTATTATTATTATTATTGTTGTTGTTGTTGTAGTTTTCTCTTTTTCCATATACGTTTTCGTTTTCAAACAAAGATTTGCATTATGGATGTTCCCCATCAAGTCGTACGAACTTAGACAAGTAGCATCATACACAGAAGATTTGAAGTGCCAAGCAACAAAAACTTGTGAAGGGAAATTAAGTGTTATTCCATTTTTTTTTTTATTATAATTGTGTTTTGCGTTTGATTTGTGTATTATGTGTTGACCCCAAAGCTCAAGCCATGACTTCAAGAGACAACAAGTTTCTTTTTTATATAAAAAATGCAATCAGATTAAAAAACAAAATGTGCAACCACGATCACTGCAGGAAGAGGAAAAGCTACACAGGATAGGAAAATTACGCATGAGTTTGATCTTTTGAAATTCACATATTTTAGGGCTTCCAGGAATTTGATCCAAATATTTATTTGATCCTTTTGACATCATTCCCAAAACCCAATAATCAATAAGTAATGTTTTGTGGCCCTGAGATGTCGCATTTTATTGATTTTCATCTCGAGGCATGTCCTTCTATTTAACTGTTTTCTCAAATGTTTTCAAAGATGTGTTCTTGTTGGCCGGGGTTGCAACATCTATCGACACATATAAAGTTTTCAGCATGATTTATCCCGATTGTATTTGGTCGATTTAGCGGGATTTCCCTGTCAGTTTGAATATTGAAAGGACTCTAACATTTTAATTCTGTACAGCTTGTGGTGGCTTGTATTCCAATCAGTTCTCTTTGCGAGAAAGGTTGAATGCGTAACATATTGACCAATGTATGTACTCAACAGCCCTATAATAACATTGCTCCAATCGACCACAAAGAGATAGGATGTGGCCAGTTATTATTATTATTTGCAGTTTTCTTGTGTAATACAATCGTTTACCAATTCTCTTACCTAAGCTAAAGGGAGATTTTTTTTTCTTCAAGTGTCATTGAGTATATAGCATTGTGTGCGTTTTTCTTAGTATATAAGCAGGGCAGAGGAGCAAAAAGCTTTTGTATCTAGAATAGTGCAGGGTTTCCCTGGATTTTCTTAATGTATGACCTGGCACCTTGATTCAGTCCGTTTTCCACCGCCTTAACGTAGCTTCCCTCTGCCTTTTCTATAAATACTTTCATGGTAATAGTTCTGATGAACTTTCCTCTATTGTACTTAGATTTTATGAATTTAAGTGCAATACTTGATTGGCGACAAGGATTCATCATTTTACAGTTATAATGGCTAGATGTAACCGTAAGTTCTATGCTAATCGTTTCTTCTGTGGCAATACTCGCTTGCGGAACTCTATTCCGGCTTTTTGCTTTCCAGCCAACTTTCATCTTCACAAATTTAAATGCAATGTCAATCGTTATAACCTGTTTTCTTAATTCTTGTTCTTTTATTATTCTCTCATCTTAATAACAGTTTTTTTCATATTCTTGAACACTCAGCAACACCTGGCGTCTTAGTCGCTTTATTGCCTTGCTTGTGGTGAAATGATAAAAAAGTACCAGTATTATGTTTAATAATTCCTAGTTCTAATATTATTATTATTATTGCAATACTGATGTTATTTCAATATCAATGTACTGAGTGTCACCCACCCCCGCCAAAAAATTGTAGTCTAATAGCATAGCCAATTCTCGCTTAAATGATCTCAAATTTTAACAAAACGTGTAAAATCTAAGTTAACAGCGTAGACTTATCTCAATGAGAACCTATCAGGAAGCTGGATCGGAGGTGTCAATGATAATGACAATGTGCTTTTGAAATGG